TTCACACTATATTACAAAGCTATACTAACAAGAACGGTGTGGTATTATACCAATACGCTGATCACATACACTGCTCAATGGAACAGAATAGGGAGCCTAGAAATAAACACATACATTTATAGTCAATTAATTTATGATAAATGAACCAAGAACACACAATGATAAAAGGACAGTCTTTTCAAAAAATGGTGTTGGGAATTGCACCATCACATCCAAAAGAATGAAACTAGACCATTATTGACTCCATACACAAAAACTAACTCAAGATAGATTAAAAACTCAAATGTAAGGCTTGAAACCATAAAACTTCCAGATGAAAACATAGGCAGTAAGTTCTCTGACATCAGTCTTGGCAATAATTTTTTTAATCTGACATCAAAACCAAAATCAATACAAGCAAAAATAGACAAGTAGGATTATATCAATCTAAAAAGTTTCTGCATAGGAAAGAAAACCTTTAAGAGAAGGAAAAGGAAACCTACTGAATGGAAGAAATATTTGCAAATCATATACTTGATAAGGGGTTAATATCCAAAAAATATAAAGAATTCATATAACTCACTAACAAAAAAAATCTGATTAAAAAAATGGGCAGAGGATCTAAACAGGCATTTTGCAAAAAAGACATACAGATGGCCAACAGGTGCACAAATACATGCTCTGCCTTATTAATCTCAGGGAACTGAAAATTGAAACCTCATACCTATTAGAATGGTTATTACCAAAAAGACTAGAAATAGCAAGTTTTGGCAAGACTATGGAGAAAAGGGAACCCTACAACAGTGTTGGTGGGAAGGTAAATTGGTGTAGCCACTACGGCTATGACTTTCCTTCAAAAACTAAAAATATAACTCTACATGATCTAGCAATTCTACTTCTGGGTTTTTGTTTGAAAAAAATGAGACCACTAATTTAAAAAGATAAATATACCTAATGTTCATGCAGCATCGTTTATAATAGCCAAGATATCAAAATAACCTAAGTCTCCAACAATGAATGAAAAGATAAAGAAAATGTGGTATGTAAATATAAATATAATATATGTGTGGTGTGTGCAAATAAATGGGAGTATGTATATGGAATATTATTCAGCCATGAAAAAGGAGGAAATCTTGCTATTTACAAAAACATGGATGGCTCTTGAGGGTATTGTGCTAACTGAAAGAAGTCAGACAGAAAAAGACTGATATCATATGATCTCTCTGGTATGTGGAATACATTTATTATATATATTACATATAATATAATATGTTAACATATATAATAACATTATATAATATACTAAATATAAACATGTAACTTCCGACTATATCAAAGGAAATGAAGAAATGTGTATCATCAAAAAAAAAAAATTAAGTTGTCTAGTGCCTCTTGACTAAAATAACCGCCCTATCCTTGGGCACCATCAGAATTTTAAAGCCCCTTAGACCTGAAAAGATGATGATGCCCATCCCCACCATGTAACAAAGAATAAAAACAAAACATGAAATCATAAATAGTATAAGGAAGTGCAATAAAGACACACGCATCTGTTCTTATAGAATGACTGAATGGCATCCACATTCATGTTAACAGCAGGGAACAGATTTCACAGAGCTTCTACCTCCAAAAGGGCTGGATGTTTGCTATCACTTCCCAAGCTGTTGGAAAGGAGATGGTAACCATGTCTATGGGTTGCCCATCTCCCATTGGAAAACTACTGGTGATAAGAGAAAGTGTTGGCCCTCAAAGTGATCTTTTCCCAAAGTTTAACTTCCCTTTGTTAGAACAATACAAGCAGCAAAGTGATTTGATTCTCTCGTTGTTTATGGTAGTAGACTGAATTTTCCCATGAACGCATTGTGCCTTGTTGAAATACTGAATATGAAAAGTCAGAGATTTCACATTTCAGCCAAAGCTAGAAGACAGAGATGAAAAAAGCCTCCAAAAGATAAATTATGCTCTAAAATCCCAAACGTGCTTACATTCAAGAAAAGAGCTTTTTTATTTTCTTGAGAGAGAGATTGAGAAAGAGAGCACACATACAAGCAGGAGAGGGGCAGAAGGAAAGGACCTAAGCAGGTCCACACTCAACCCAGAGCCTGATGAGGGACTTGATCTCATGACCCTGAGATCATGACCTGAGCCAAAATCAAGACTCAGACACTTAACCGACTGAGCCACCCAGGTGCCCCATGAAAAGAGCTTTTAATAGTATGTATAATTTATTCCAATTGACTACAAAACAAAAACCTTAATAAGTTCTAATTTTTCACATTTCAAATTAGAAACCATTCTACATTTCTAGTGGCTTGATTTATTTCAAGTTACTACGGAACTCTCAACTTTCATCAAATGGGATTCCTTAACAATCTTTATGTTTAAGTCCATAATACAATGATACACAACATATGTTAAAATAGTGGCAAGCTTCTGAATCATCAAAGAAAATTCTATATTTCTTCCATTTAATTTTGAAATTATATATTTTATTATTTTCTAACTGAAAAACTGGTAATTGATGTACCATGTATACATATACAATATTCAACTAATTGTAGTATGATCCACAACATCCCAATTTTAAGACATTGTTCTCAAAAAGGATTTCCAAGGAAAATTTAAAAAGGAAAAAAATTAGAAGGTTTCTACCTTGATTGTTTATGTTTGTCATATTATACGCAAACAGATGAATTAAGAGATGCTACACTGAATTTAGCAAAAGAAAAAATTGAACCTAGCTTCTTGACAAATACTGAAAAAATCAAATTCTGGCATTATACAACTATTCAACAATTATTCATTCAGCTTAAGTAGAGAACATTTTTAAGTGAGTGTAATTCTGTACATGTTCAGAAGTGCATTTCAAACAATAACAGCTTTATTAATTTCAAATGCAAAGAACATATCCCTTGTTTTAGTCTGACTGATTTACATTACTTATCAACTCTTTTTCTATTAACTACCCTCCCCTACCCCATTCTTTCTAAAATGAGTGAGGAAGCTTTTAAAAAATGTTTGAACACAATTCACTTTGGGTTATTATGTTACACAGGGAAACTATTACTCAAGTAAAAAGAAGAAATCTTAGTAAAGTTAAAAGGATAACCTATTGAAATTTTCCCAACTTCAGGAAATTTTTGCCTTTTTTAAAAGATCTAAAAAAAAAAAGAGTTTATTTATTTATTTGACACAGAGAGAGAGAGAGAGAGAGAAAGTACAAGCAGGGGGAGCAGCAGGGAGAAAAGAGAAGCAGACTCCCAGACTCCCACTGAACAGAGGGCCCGACGTGGGGCTCAACCCCAGGACTCTGGGATCATGATCTGAGCCAAAGGCAGACGCTTAACCGACTGAGCCACCCAGGTGCCCCTCAACTTCAGAAAACTTCTGACAAAAGTTATTACATTCGAAATAGTCTTTTTGATTCTACTCTCCCACCAACACAAAAAATAAAGTAATAAAGTTAACTGGAAGTTATATTTAAAATTGTTCTGTTTTTTGCAGGTTTTGTTATTAATCTCTATGAATTTTGAATGATTTTGATCAAAGTAGGGAGAAATCAAGTTAGCATACATTTTCCAATCTAAATTAAAACTCTGAATCTTTGAAGTATCGGCTACTTTCGCCAAACAGTAAGGTTTTGTACAATACAGAGTAAGTTAATATGTATTTGAAAAATACAGTTTTTTTAAGATAAAAATAAAGAGCAAAATACAGGCAAGACTCAGAAAGAAAAACTACATTGCCTTGACTTTGCATCTTTATTTGCATATTTACTTACTGTATCTTTTTTTTTTTTAAGGATTTTATCTATTTTTTTGACAGAGAGAGCTCACAAGTAGGCAGAGAGGCAGTCAGAGAAAGCAAGAGAGAGGAGGAGGCAGGCTCCCTGCTGAGCAGAGAGCCTGATGCAGGACTCGATCCCAGGACCCTGAGATCATGACCTGAGCCGAAGGCAGAGACCCAACCCACTGAGCCACCCAGGCACCCTTACTGTATCTTTCTAACCCCATTTTCAAGTTAAAGACTGGCCTGACATATTTTCTTACAGTTTGGGGTTCTTTAGACAGTTCAACCTCACAGTAGCAAAACCCTATGACAAGGCAGGTCAAGTAACTAAGGACCTAAAACGAAGTCTACCTCAGAAAACTTTTATTATCACCTTTCAAAGACATTTTGTTTATTTTCAATGAAAATAACCAGATCAGATTATTTTGGGAAGTAGAGGGCATGTGTGGTGAGTTTGGATTTTTGCGTTCATTTTGCTTTGTTTTTGTTGGTTTATTCTTAGAGCACTCTTTTACCCAAGTTACAGGTACAAATGAGATCCTCCTGATAATGAAATATTAGAAATTCTTCTTTGCACAAGTTTTATGTCATGAGGAAAAAAACACAAAGTACTCCTGAATCAATAGGTTTAGAAGCAACAAAACTCTGAAGACAGCCAAGTTATAAAAGCCCATTTTTAGATGTGGAACAACTTCTGAACATACAGAGAGTATTCGGCATACATTATACTGAAGGAAAAGTCCTACTTTCATTATTTCCTGATTCTTGGAATCCAATAAAAACTTTATGGAACAAAAACTCTTTGGCAAAGACTCCTTCACTGAACGCATAACCAACCACCTCCACAACCCTCCTTTTAAAGTAATGAGAGTTGATAAACTATAATAAGAGTAGGGAAATTTTTACTTTTTCTCGTGCATTTTGAAAGAATGATGAAGTGGTATTTTGGTTTTTTAAGCCCCAGGGACTTTTAGCACCTGGACAACGCACATTCACTTTTCAAAAAAACACCAACAAAAATTAAAATGGCGGTGGTTAGGTAAATATGGATGACGCCCATATACAAGTATTTGCCCCTGTGAAGGGCCTACACAGAATCACATCCCGTCCTGATCATACCAGTCTGCCAGAGAAAAACAGGCAGCTGACCAATCATGGGGTGTTTATCTATACAGTGGTACCTTTGTTCTCCAACAATGTTAGATTGCAAACGTCTTGGAGCATATATTTACCTGGAGGATTCTTGGCAGGATCATTGTGGCTTGGACTTCCTGATTGTCCAGAATCTATAAAGAAATCACAGAAAATGTTTTCTTTTTAATTTGTTTTGAACGAATTTCACAATCCTCAGGAGGACTTTAAAAAAAAAAAAATTAAGATGCAACAATGAAGCTGAGTGTGTTTAAATAAAGTATACTTTCCCAAGCCTTTCAGCAGCAACACTTTATTTATCAAGCTAGACGAATGTCCATCCATATTTCTGTGTCAAAAGGAAAAGAAAAAAGTAGAGATCTATCATAGTCTTAGAATGGAGCAAGGCTTTTTTTGAAACAAAAGGTCTGGCTCCAAAGCCACGAAAGGCGGTTTGGAGGTTGGGCCTGTCAGAGCAATATAAAATAAAGCAGATACATCCCCTAAAAATGCAATCCGAGTGTAATTAAACATGCTCTTAAGAACCTGAAAATGTTTTTATTCGAGGAGTGAAATACACAGAAACGAGAGTCCGTTTTTCCAGGATTTCACGTGCACACGCACATACCCACTCCCATAATCTCCCAACCTACTGGATCCAGGCCCAGATTTGTCTGCATCCCATAATAGCAATCAATTTGCAAACACCAAGAAAAGCATAAATTACTAGGTAGAAACTAACATAGCTTTGTGGAGAGCAAACTGTTGGATCAATTTAATTTCCATCTGTGATAGACAGACTGCAGATAAGGAGAACAAGATCAATGTGGTCTCTCTGAATTTCCTACCGCACGTTCTTTTTCATTGATGCTTTCTGCAGAAAGCAGCGGAAAGGTTACACTACGGCTAAGCAACACTCCTTTCCCAGCTCATCTAACACTGCTGCGTTTTGCTCCTTCCTCTTTCCTCTATGTCCCCTCCACACTTATCCGTGTCATTTGCCCCGTATGATTATACACTTCCTTACAGGTTGCTTTGTCATCTTCTTTTACTGGTTCTAGTATTGAAGTTTTGTCTCCCCAACTAAATTGCACGCTCCTGAGCAGAGGAAGAGATTCTTTCTACTTCTTTTGTGTCCTCCCCGGTACGCAGTGTGCTGTGAATGCACTAGGCTTTCAGCAAACGCCTGGGGCTAAGATTCAGCAGCCTTCTCCGCCTGCCTAGGAAAGGCAGTTTTGAACTTGATAGTGAATTGCAACAAAATGTGACCGGTGGCCACAGATAAGTCTCCTCCCTGAAATCTTGCCATGGTACCTAAGCCAAGACAGGAATCCAGTCTCATTGAAGCAGAAATATCTTAGGCTGGTTTTTTTCAGCAGGGTTATTAACTTCTTCCATGGAAGTGATTAGCAAGCTCCAACGGCTGCTTCCACTGTTAAATGCAAGGGGATCCTATGAGTCTCTTTCTGTACATAGCTTGGTTTTTCATCTTTGCCTTTTGCCTCATGCCTGCTAAATAGAGTTAATGCTGAGATGGGAATTCTACCTCCTCATCCTATTTCCTTTGTCTTTTTTTTGTTTTTTTTTTTTTTCCTCCAGAAGAGCTTTCATGAAATCTTCACAAATGTATTTAGTGATTCCCACATTATCCTCCAACTGATTTCTGATTTCCCAAAACGGAAATAAAGAAAGTGGTAGGAGCTACTTTTGCAGCCTGAGTTCCAGCTCATGTCTCCTGTAGACAGTCCCACAGTTGGGTGTTCTCTAAAATGCTTGTCTCCCATCTCTCGTGAATCTGCTTGCTTTTTTCTGGAATTGAGGCAAGACTCGGTGACTTACAACTTAGAAGGTCAATCTTTCTCTTTCTACATTCCTATAAAAGATGGTATAACACTGGCCACTTTCCAGGCATGGAGTCTGATGGTTACATAAAAATGATAAATGACATTATTTTGCTACAGATTCAGCTATTTCTGCCTCGAGTTCCTCTGACAAATGTCCTTCAATAATGATACTACATTCCAATTTAATTTTTCAAGTCACTCTAACCTTTTGAGGAGTTCCTACTTATTATTATTATTATTACTAACATACCTACTGGACAGAGGGCTTCTTCATATTCTCTTTTTTCTTCTGAAGTTACCTCACATTTATGGAGATCTAGACATGCGTCCCTCAAGGTGGCTAACTGCCACCTTCCTAATGACACAACATGAGGCAGGTTGAGCTTGTCCTCAGGGGACAGGGGTTGTAGACTCTCCGTGAGCCTCGCATGTTTACTTAAATCAATTCCAAAAGGGCACCACAAAACTCCTTCCCAACATCTGGCTCCTGAAACTTGGGTCAATTAAAGAATGAATGTCTCTTCTATTCTGAAGAAAGTATTCAGTTAGAACAATAGCACCCCCCTGTTACCACAACATCCCGTGGGGAAACCCTTGTCTTTTCTGCTGCACATTACCCCTTCCCCCATCCCTAACAAGTGCACAGCAACCTCTTCATTTGAAAACAATATAATTACTAAAACAAAACACAACCAAACCACAAACATTTGAGGGAAAACTGAAGTAGACACTACATTTGAGTCACACACTTGCTTTTAATAAGAATTCTACTTTCTAAAATGATCGGGCATTTACTGGCACACAATGGCAGCTTTTCCCTCATATTCCCAAGTCTGCTTCTTTTCATGAAGTAAAAGAGCATATACGAGATCCCAAAACATAGAAGAGAGCCGCCTCAGGGAGGGGGCAAGTTCGCATTTACTTTTCAGACTGTAAATTCTAACACTATAATCTACTCTTAACTCTTATGGCACCTTATACCGGTCACTCAATTAAAACTGCTAGAAAAGGAAGTAACCAGCGAGTCACAGTTGGCAGAGAAACCAAAATGAACTGTTATTGTGGTTAACTTCAGAGAAGGAATTATTCGGACCACATCAAAAACCCAGGTCACATTACTCTATACCCAAAGGTTTTCTTCAACTACTTCCATCATTTGCTCAAGTCCTGTGTGTGGGTCTGTGTGTACTTAATATGTTATCGTGAATTCTAGCTCTGTTCTTCACTAGTAAGGGGATTTTGTGCATAATTACTTAACTCTTAGAGCCTTGCGGTCTTGATATTTACAACTGTAATACTGTCTACCTTGTAGAATTGTTGCAAAGCTTTTATTATGTCACCCATCAGGCACTGGTCAGACGCATCTGATACAATCAGTAAATCAACGATATCAAACACAGAGGTGACATTCAAAGAATGATTCGTGTGTTTAATGGGCTAACTCTCAGGAAGAAAGGGAGAAAGGGGATATGACTAAATTCTGCCCATCCCAGGCAAATGATTTGTGGACAGGGCACCTGGGTGACTCAGTCGGTGAGCATGTGCCTTAGGTTCAGGTTGTGATCCCCCTAGGGTCCTGGGATCGACCCCCATATCGGGCTCCCTGCTCAGTGGGGACCCTGCTTCTCCCTGTCCTTCTGCAGCTCCCCCTGCTTGTGCTCCCTCTCTGTCAAATAAATAAATAAAATCTTTTTAAAAAATATTTTTTAAAAATAGCCAGATTTTTGGTAAATAGCCAGAATATGAAGGAGACACTTGAAGGATATACACTTCAAGGAGCGTGTGTCCGCTGAGAATTCCTACGTAAAAACTGTAGGCGCCCTCTCCCCTCAATGGAGAAAGCTCTGCCACTGCAAGGCTCTCATGAGCTCTCCTGCTCAAAAGGCAGCAGATACCAGCCATCTGATGGGGATTACCTTCCAGAAGACTGAAGTCTGTGAAGAACAAGGCTGGTAAGAAGGGGGGGTTGTGAGTTGCCCAGCACACTGGGTCTTGAGTCTAGAACAATCTGGATGCAGTGGAGAGAAGGACAGGGGAACAGAACTTAAAGGCAGCTCACCTAAACCAGTCCTCCATCATTCCCTCCACATTTTATTTTCTCTTTTTGATCCCAGTCTACATCTTCTACATTTCGGACTTCATTGGACATAATGCAGAGCTGAAATAGTTTGCATTGCGTACTTTTAAAAATATCTTCTGACCCATTCTTTATGTTTTAATAGTGTGAACTAAACATATATGTCTTCTTTTTGGAAGAAAATAGTGAAGCCATTTCTAAGTTACTACTTTTTAAACTCAATCTATTCCTCCTACCCCAGGACTAAGAAAAGGTTCACATCCCCACGTGATCCTTACCAACTTTTCTTCAATCCCTTTGTGTACTCCCTTTTAGAAAGCAGCCAGCCTTTTATGGCTCTTCTAATAACGAACTTTTAAACTTTACCCAAAGAATGGCCAGCTTCCCTCCTGACCCAGTTTTATGAAAGACCCTGGGATATTTAAGCGACCGAAATGGCTTGTCCAAAGTTACATGGCAACTATTAAAACATATGTTCTCTACATGGGCCACCCATTCAGACACACTGCCTCTTGCGAGGTTATGATGCAATCTTAAAATCACGTACAGCCAAGCGATCTTTCAGTAGATTAAATGTTTCTGGGAACTTGACCTTCCCCTAACTTCCCTCCTCCTTCCTAACATTTACCAATACATTCAAAACCTTTTTCATACATTTTAAAAGCCCACAGCTATTCTTTCACTCTAAGTTGGAAACAACTATTATTAAAATCTATACAGTTATCAACGCTTTCAAAAGAGGACAGCTCTGAATTAAATTCAGTCTGGATTCTCTCCGCTAAACAAAGAGAATTCTAATGTTTTACTAATTAATGATCTAGTGAAAGTCCAATAAAATGTTTGTTAAATAGGTAAGATAATAAACAGATAATAACCACTTAAATGTTTGTTAATGAGTACTAACTTTCTGAGGTAGGTGAACTCAATTATCTGATGGGGGCAGACCATCAAAACTAAAAGTCTTTCGGTCACTACTGTGAATCACTACTGATGTGAATCCGTAAGATTCATGGAATCCCTTCTATAGTCCAATGGCTGATGTTTGGGACCATAATAGGTTCTCAATAAGTTCTTATTAAATTTCCAATTCATTTATAATAATGACCTTTAACATACTGTTTTAAGAAGAAGAATATACACTCTATGCCTTCTAGAGCTCAGGGGCTGCCCAAAGAGAAATAAATGTATAAATAAAATATTATACATGGTGACAGGTGTTATTAATGAGTATGTA